GGGGATAACTCACACAACTTCATGTAATGGCACCCTAATGCGCAGAACGCTCTGCGCATTACATGTACACGGTTCACGCTTGTATGAGTTATCCCCTCCACACGCTGTGGCTATGGCAGAGTCTCAGAATTGGCATCTCTGTGTTCATATTATAAGACCGCATTATAGATACCGCGACCTGTTCGTATTGTAAGACCGCACTGTATATACCGCGCATTCTAACTATAGAGTTAATTAGACATTATGATTCCCGCCAGTGTCGCGCCGATTTCACCTTCGCACACGGCCTTGAGATTACTAAGGAGCGTCAGTCCTTTTAAGGATAGAACGCCGAGAACGTCGACGCCCCGTTCTTTTAATGATAAGGCAGTTGGAATTACACAAATTGCCAGTTGGGTCGGATATATACAAACACTCCTTTAATTTATATGATCATATAAGACAAAATAAAATTGAGATTCAATGTGGTTACCCAGTTTGTTCTACTAATAAAATTTTCAAAACAATCAGAACTTACGCAGTCCACATATGTAGACATCATAATACAAATTTTGATAGGCAAGTTATTGCTAATAACAAAGAAGTAATACATTTTGATACCAGTAATAATTGCAACTATTTTTCACAAGAAGAAACTTTAAATCAAGAAACTTATAATCAAGTTTTTGGTGATGTAAATAGTAGCGAAAAAGCTATATCACAATTATACTTAAATTTGACTACAAAATATTTCTTAACAGAATATGCTCTTCAAGCCGTAATAGATGGCATGTCATCTGTAGTTAAACTTATTCATGAACACTTTATCACGACTTTAAATGAAAGTGATCTTGAAAATGATATAAAAGAAAACATTTAAAATATGTTTCAACGTAGTTATTCTTTCTTCTCAAATGTTCATGATTCTGTAAATGGTTGTCTTCGAAATACATGTTCGAGAAATATATATTTTCAACAAAATTTTCATATTGTGATGCCTGTACAAATTAATTTAGAATTTGATAATAATCACAAGCAATGTTTTTATCATTATATTCCAATTTTGAAAACTATACAAGTATTATTACAAAATTCTGATATTCAACATTTGTGTTTAAATTCGTATAATAATTATAATAGTAATGTGCTTTTTGATATAAAAAATGGCAGCTTAATAAAAAACAATAATTTTTTTTATAATAATAAAAATGCGTTGCAAATTATACTATATCAAGATGCATTTGAGATATAGAATGACGAACAACAGCAGAACGATGAAATGTAATATTGATAGTTCCCTACGTTATACTATATAAATGTATGATTTATTTTGTCCATGGCAAAATGTAACAATATTGAATAATAAATTTTTTACAAAAGAATTGAGCATAATTTTTATTATTTCATATTTTCTTTATTTAAATACTTTGAAATGCTTCGACTTTCCTGTATCTAATAATCTATTTGCTTGTTAAAAGAATAGTTATACTAACAAATTCAATTTGTTGAAAGGTGTATGATTTATTTTGTCCAGTACTGTATATATGTATATGTATTTTGTATATTTGCGATATTACATTTTAAAATATTATTTTTGTAACAATTATTCAGGAAGATTAGTTGGAAACACACACACAATATATATATATATATATACACATCATATATATATATGCACACGTATATATATATATGTATTGTAACCGTAATTTTTTTCCGATATTTAACGCGACGGCAAAATTCCGCGGATCTCAATATACCCGAAATGGTAGAGGGGGTGGTTCGGGGGGAAACGAAAGAGATCTAGAGAATCGAGAACACGGGAGCAAAAATGAGCATTCGATGAGTTAAAAATAAAGATAACAATAATAATATATTAAATGAAACAAGAGTATAGAGCAGTTCACAGAAGTAATAAACGTGGGCGACAATGGTTATTCTGCAGGCGAATAAAATACATTATTTCCGCGAAGATCGGCACGACCGTGCGCAACAGTATTAAATTACCGGGCGTCTTACGCGCTTTAACTTGACTTTTTGGCCGCGAGTATTTCCGCCGTGCGAGACTTAATTAGGCCGCGACAACTAAAGAAATCTCTCGAATGCGTCGGTAACTACTTTACGCACGCCCGTGAATCCGCTTCAATACAATATAAATTTCTCGGTAATACGACTCGAATCGGTCATTTAACGCAGCTACCGTTAATCGCTCGGGTATATAACGGCAGCCTTTTTAGATCCAGACACCAGATTTACCAGAATCATACCAGAAACCGAATCCGCTCGAGCTATACGCTCGAGACTTTCCTGTTTTCCGATCCTAAGGAATCGCAAACATGACGGAACGCGAGGTTGATGAGTGCGCAGCCTCCGCCGAGCATTCTCGGCTTCCGAACCGCTTTACGATCAGTTGAAATCCAGGATCGCTTCTCTCGAGAGTTCTCGAGAAAACGATCTAACTTCCGACCGATCCGACCATTCGAACCGTGGGCTGGCGAGTTCGCCACCCCGTTGAGTTTTCTCAACACCGTTGGTCAACTCCGTACTCCGCGTGCGAAACAAGGGACAGCGAGTTCGCTGCCCGCTCGAGATTTCTCGATATCGCACGCATCCCATAACATCTGGGAATACGCGCTATTAATAGTACCGCATACGTATAAGAAATCCTACGAGGCGATTTAAACCGATTCACACGTTTTTGTGAACCACGCGCACCGTCACAACAAACCGACCACGCGCCCCGCGCCGCCTACCCGGCGTGTTTATATCCGCGTCGCGTATACTACAGCGAATCTCGTTGTAAAGATCGCGCAATTCATAACAGCCGCGCCCCGTCAATAACGCATTACTGTCCGCCGCGCACCCGCTCCGCGGGATCGTTATGTATTATTATTCCGCACCGATAGAGGCCTAATAAATTAACAGTTCTTTATAAATTTATTTACATCGTGTGTCTCAAATACTTTCTACGAGCCCTGATCACGACCGAGGGAATCCGCGAGCTCATAAAAAGTACATCCGTTACAGTTTTTAAGAAAAAGTATGTAATTATTTACAATGTATTTTTAATATGTAATAAAAAATGGGGAGTTCCATTTAAGAAAACATCGACACATTGACCTCACCTTGAAAAGACCACTTAAGGTCAAATTATTTCATATTTTCATCATGTGGCCCTCTCGAAACCATGCAACTTTTGTCTGAAACATTTTTTGATATCTCATTTCGTTTCCAAAAAATATGCCCGCGTCACTATAAATGCCGCACCCTGTATATACA